ACTACTTTCGTAGTTAAAAGTTGCGATTTTCGAGCCCCAGCTACGAAAGTGGACTTCGCGTACTACTTTCGTACTAAAAAGTCGCGATTTTCGAGCCCCAGCTGCGAAAGTGGACTTTGCGTACTACTTTCGTACTTAAAAGTTGCGATTTTCAAGCCCCGGCTGCGAAAGTGGACTTTGCGCACTACTTTCGTACTTAAAAGTTGCGATTTTCAAGCCCCAGCTGCGAAAGTTGACTTCGCGTACTACTTTCGTACTTAAAAGTTGCGATTTTCGAGCCCCGGCTGCGAAAGTTGACCTTGCAAAAATGCTGCGCCTGCCACCAAATCTGTGCTTGACCTTGCGAAAGTGCTGCGCCTGCCACAAAATCTGTACTTGACCTTGCGAAAGTGCTGCGCGTGCCACGAATTTTGCACTTGACCTTGCGAAAGTGCTGCACCTGCCACGAATTCTGTACTTGACCTTGCGAAAGTGATGCGCCTGCCACGAATTTCGATACTTGACCTTGCGAAAGTGCTGCGCCTGCCACGAATTCTATACTTGACCTTGCGAAAGTGCTGCGCCTGCCACGCAATTCAAACCTTGCGAAACCTTCGCGCGGCCGTGCCAATGGGCCCGTCTCCGAACCCGTTCCGAGACCGTTCCGAGACCGTTCCGAGACCGCCTCCGTACAGGCGTCGCAGCCGAGGTGGTTTGCGCATTGTCCGGAAGCCCAATTCACGCACAGCGCCAACGTTTTCTGCATCTTGCCATCCCCCAGCTCGCAGAGAGCTTGCGAAAGTGCTGCGCCTGCCACGAAAGCTTGACCTTGCGAAAGTGCTGCGCCTGCCACGAAATCGATACTTGACCTTGCGAAAGTGCTGCGCCTGCCACGAAATCTATACTTGACTGCGAAAGTGCTGCGCCTGCCACGGAATTCAAACCTTTGCGAAACCTTCGCGCGGGCCGTGCCAATGGGCATCCCGAACCCGTTCCGAACCCGTTCCGAACCGTTCCGAGACCGTTCCGAGACCGCCTCCGTACAGGCGTCGCAGCCGAGGTGGTTTGCGCACATTCCGGAAGCCCAATTCACGCACAGCGCCAACGTTTTCTGCATCTTGCCATCCCCCAGCTCGCAGAGAGTGCTTGCGAAAGTGCTGCGCCTGCCACGAAATCGATACTTGACCTTGCGAAAGTGCTGCGCCTGCCACGAAATCTATACTTGACCTTGCGAAAGTGCTGCGCCTGCCACGCAATTCAAACCTTGCGAAACCTTCGCGCGGCCGTGCCAATGGGCCCGTCTCCGAACCCGTTCCGACCGTTCCGAACCGTTCCGAGACCGTTCCGAGACCGCCTCCGTACAGGCGTCGCAGCCGAGGTGGTTTGCGCACAGTCCGGAAGCCCAATTCACGCACAGCGCCAACGTTTTCTGCATCTTGCCATCCCCCAGCTCGCAGAGAGTGCTTGCGAAAGTGCTGCGCCTGCCACGAAATCTATACTTGAGAAAGCTATCTACGTGTTAAGCTGGCTATATGTCAAAGCTATCTATCTGTCATGCAAGCCTATTGGAAAGCTATTTATCTGTCAAGCTAGCTATATGTCAAAGCTATCTATTTGTCATGCAAGCCTATTGGAAAGCTATCTATCTGTCAAGCTAGCTATATGTCAAAGCTATCTATCTGTCATGCAAGCCTATTGGAAAGCTATCTATCTGTTCAAGCTAGCTATATGTCAAAGCTATCTATTTGTCATGCAAGCCTATTGGAAAGCTATCTATCTGTCAAGCTAGCTATATGTCAAAGCTATCTATTTGTCATGCTAGCTACCTGTCATAGCTATATGTCAAAGCAGCTAGCTCATTTAGTTCCAGTACAAGTAAGGTCCGGCAGAGCCGGGGGGCGGAAGTTTCAAAGCAGTGAACAACTATAGTTTGGAGAACTGTCCTTGGCCCCTTGCTTCTCTCTCTCTCTCTCTCTCTCTTTCTCTCTTTCTCTCTTTCTCTCTTTCTCTTTCTCTTTCTGTTTCTCTGTCTCTTTCTCTCTCTTTCTATCTATCTCTCTAGCTATCTCTATATCTGTTTATTGATCTATCTATCTACCCATCTTTCTCTGCACTTAAAAGTTGCGATGTTCAATCCCCGAAAGTTGACTTCGCGTACTACTTTCGTACTTAAAAGTTGCGATTTTCGAGCCCCAGCTGCGAAACTGGACTTCACGTACTACTTTCGTAGTTAAAAGTTGCGATTTTCGAGCCCCAGCTACGAAAGTGGACTTCGCGTACTACTTTCGTACTAAAAAGTCGCGATTTTCGAGCCCCAGCTGCGAAAGTGGACTTTGCGTACTACTTTCGTACTTAAAAGTTGCGATTTTCAAGCCCCGGCTGCGAAAGTGGACTTTGCGCACTACTTTCGTACTTAAAAGTTGCGATTTTCAAGCCCCAGCTGCGAAAGTTGACTTCGCGTACTACTTTCGTACTTAAAAGTTGCGATTTTCGAGCCCCGGCTGCGAAAGTTGACCTTGCAAAAATGCTGCGCCTGCCACCAAATGTGTGCTTGACCTTGCGAAAGTGCTGCACCTGCCACAAATTCTGTACTTGACCTTGCGAAAGTGATGCGCCTGCCACGAATTTTGTACTTGACCTTGCGAAAGTGCTGCGCCTGCCACGTACTTGACCTTGCGAAAGTGCTGCGCCTGCCACGAAATCGATACTTGACCTTGCGAAAGTGCTGCGCCTGCCACGAAATCTATACTTGACCTTGCGAAAGTGCTGCGCCTGCCACGCAATTCAAACCTTGCGAAACCTTCGCGCGGCCGTGCCAATGGGCCCGTCTCCGAACCCGTTCCGAACCCGTTCCGAGACCGTTCCGAGACCGTTCCGAGACCGCCTCCGTACAGGCGTCGCAGCCGAGGTGGTTTGCGCATTGTCCGGAAGCCCAATTCACGCACAGCGCCAACGTTTTCTGCATCTTGCCATCCCCCAGCTCGCAGAGAGTGCTTGCGAAAGTGCTGCGCCTGCCACGAAATCGATACTTGACCTTGCGAAAGTGCTGCGCCTGCCACGAAATCTATACTTGACCTTGCGAAAGTGCTGCGCCTGCCACGAAATCTATACTTGACCTTGCGAAAGTGCTGCGCCTGCCACGCAATTCAAACCTTGCGAAACCTTCGCGCGGCCGTGCCAATGGGCCCGTCTCCGAACCCTCCGAACCCGTTCCGAGACCGTTCCGAGACCGTTCCGAGACCGCCTCCGTACAGGCGTCGCAGCCGAGGTGGTTTGCGCACAGTCCGGAAGCCCAATTCACGCACAGCGCCAACGTTTTCTGCATCTTGCCATCCCCCAGCTCGCAGAGAGTGCTTGCGAAAGTGCTGCGCCTGCCACGAAATCTATACTTGAGAAAGCTATCTACGTGTTAAGCTGGCTATATGTCAAAGCTATCTATCTGTCATGCAAGCCTATTGGAAAGCTATCTATCTGTCAAGCTAGCTATATGTCAAAGCTATCTATCTGTCATGCAAGCCTATTGGAAAGCTATCTATCTGTCAAGCTAGCTATATGTCAAAGCTATCTATCTGTCATGCAAGCCTATTGGAAAGCTATCTATCTGTCAAGCTAGCTATATGTCAAAGCTATCTATTTGTCATGCAAGCCTATTGGAAAGCTATCTATCTGTCAAGCTAGCTATATGTCAAAGCTATCTATTTGTCATGCTAGCTACCTGTCATAGCTATATGTCAAAGCAGCTAGCTCATTTAGTTCCAGTACTACGGAAGTTTCTTGTTAAACTTCCTTTGACTACGGAAGTTTCTTGTTAAACTTCCTTTGATTAATACACCCATGTGGTTAGTCATATGAAATGTATGCAGGCTCCGAATGTCGCGTCAAGCACACACGTTGCATATATCAATGCATGCATACGTTCTGCCTGCATAATCCCGGCCGGTGGACTCGAGCGAGGTTGCAGGTCATTGGAAGTGCCCCAAACAAAATACGTGATTGGCTTGTTGTTCTGTCAAAGCTGGCGTGTTGTTCGAACGTCGAAAGCAGCCAACAAAAACATGTGGAGAGTACCTCAAAGCAGTGGAGTTGGCTTCTCCAGTGCGGAGTCATCCGATGGGTTGTGTGGCAAGGCTTTGGGGGCTGAGCTGCCAATGGTGCCATCTCATCTCAGCGCAACATATCACACACAATGCTTGTTCCTCAAAGGAGAGAAAGCTGCAGACTCTCGAGAAGCCAGGGGCAACTCAGCTGAGAATCCCAGGTTGAAGCCGGGCAGCCACTTAATCCTTCAAGATCCAAAGCAATCCGTCCCAAAACGGCGTTTCACGTTTTATCTTTCAGTGTGAATGCGCTCAATTGGTTCAAGCACGGCCTTGTTTAATCGTTCAGTTCTCAGGGATTCAAGTCGTTCATAGTCTGTTGAGTTCTCCCGTTCAAGTCGAGAAGGCCTTTCAAATGGTATCCACATTCAACCCTTCGCGCGCTCAGTGGTTACACGCTCAATTGTCAACTTCTCAAGCACTGCCCACTTCAAACTCATTGCATCTGTTCTTTTTCGGCCACAATGTTTTTCACATTCTCCTCGCCTGACTTCACCAGTTCTCCCCACATCTCCGTGACCTCCTTTAAAGCCGGTAAAACTGCCAATCCCAAACCGAATAACCTACAGGTGGTGGTATGCAACAAATATACAAACAATGCTAAACATAGCCTTCTTGGTGTTCTCCCTCCTCCCCTCCCGCCCTGCAAATCCATGTCCTGCTCTAAATAACCGACAGGTGAGGCTGATTTCAATCATCGCCCCTTCTTGTTGTCCTCTCCCTTCCGCCCCCCTCCAACAATCCATCCATCCCCTGCATCTCCCACCGAATCCAACCCTTCGCAACTAACTGTCGCCTGGTGATTTCAAGCCCATCCCCGTCAAAACTCCCCGTCCCTCCAAAAAAAAGACAAAACACAGCGGGAATCTTCCAAAACCACAATAGCTCAAAGACGAAGCTTTTGCGTCTTGCCCCCTCCCCAGCCTTCCAGGGCCGCGTGGGCCCGGGCGATCTTCACCGCGAAGACCTCCCCGCGGTGGCCCTCGCAGCCGCCACGGCTCGCCTCCTCCGCGAGGCGCAGCTGCTGGTCCTCCGTGATGGTCACCTCGAGCGGCCCAGGCGCCGGAAGTGAAAGCCCAACCGGGCGACCCAAAGAGACATGGCTGCGGTTGTCAAAAATAAAATAACCCCAAAAAGGCTTATCCTGGTAAATGCAATGGACCGAAACCTGCGGTCCCCTGGTTTCATTTTGGCCCATACCCACATCCGCAAAGGAACGGAGGCTTGCTGGCTGGTTGTTTTGGAGCGTATACTCTGTTTGGGGTGGTTGAAAACGGGAAATGGACAACTGCAATTTTCTGGCACATCCCTCCTCCCATAGACCCCCCGAAAAAACAAAAACGGGTGGGCGCTGCCCCATATGGGTTTGTCACAAGAAACGGCGAAAAAACTGGGCACGCTCTCCTTCTGATTTCGCTGCGAAAGCCAACATGGTAATTTGCCGTTGGATTCCTGTTGTCGCTCAAGAAATTGCACCGTAGACCCGCTGGGTATGTCTGTGTTTGCGGTCCCCAATAGATACGTATCCAATAATACAGTAGAATGAACCACTTCTAGTCCAAACCAAAGAAAGGCCACCCTAGCTGCAGTTGCATTAGGGTTTCATTTTGGCACTAGATAATCCGCCGACGCTCTCGGTCTTTTGTTACCAGGAAGTAGGCGGTGATGAGGTTCTGTCCTTCCTCTCTGATCAGGGCAGGCTTATGCTTTACGGCCAGGCCGGGACTCTGGCATGGTCTTCTTTGGCGCTGCCACTTCGCTTGCGCATTGTGAAGACCTTCGAGAAGGATCCGTGGCCGGCCATTCCTTGTCTTGCGCGCAAGCCTGATTGCCTTAGTCTGCAGCGTGTCGATGTGGCGCCTAAGGCGCGGCCCGCTGTAGAAACGCCGGCAACGGCCCCCTCGCCCAAGCGGCAGAGGGGCCAGCCTCCCGTTCCGCCTCCCAGCAGGCGGGTTGGCAGTGAGTGGATGCCCCGTCTTCCCTCACCTGGCCGCCCTGCCGAGTCTGCGTGGGCCTGGGTTGAGGCGCCCGGTTGCTGGTGCCTATCCGATGGCGTGGCCGACTATCTCGCAGAGGCGGCAGTCTGATGCGCATAGCCACAAGCCTGTCATCACTGTGGATGACATTGGCGAAGTGCCACCCACGTGGCCCATGCAACGACCCGATGTGTCTGGCCTTAGTGGTCATTTGTTGGAGCGCATCAGCAAGTATCTCATATTTGTGGCTCGGCATGACGTCAAGACCCCTGCCACCGCAGAGGGCTTCAGCATGCTTTGTGACGTTTGCCGTAGGGCTCCGGTGATTCGAGCGCTAGGGACTTGAGCAAAGTGGGACGCCTGCGCAGGCTGAAGTCATTGCATCCATCGCCTTGCACCTCAGTGACACCAGCAAGATGAGGTTTGAGGTTAAGTTTTCGCCAGTCGAGTGTGTAGATGGCAGTCCGCAACTTGGTCTTCCTTCGGAATCTCTTATCAAAGCCGAAGGCTTTTGGGGCTGCTATTTTTTTGGGCATGCTGCGCTAGGTGTCCAAAACCCTGTATTTTTCCAGTGTTTTCGGGTCTTTAGTGCTAAACATCTGCGTTTCGCCCAGGTCTCTACCCTGTGAATCCGTCAAGACAATTAGCGGGGGCAAGACAATTTTTACCGTGAAAGTTAATTTTTACCGTGGGTAGTTTTTTTACCGTTGCCGTTGCCGTTGCCGTTGCCGCGGAAAGTTAATTTTTTAACGGGGAAATTGCCGCGGCTGTTGCCGTGGCTGTTTGCCAAGGTGCAGTAGTTTCGCAGTAATTCCTTCCAAACTACTGCGAAATTAGCTCCAGCGCAGTAGTTTCGCAGTAGTTAGTTCCAAACTACTGCGGAATTAGCTCCAGTGCAGTAGTTTCGCAGTAACTACTTCCAAAATAGCCGTTGCCGTTGCCGTTGCCGTTGCCGTTTTTGTTGCCGCGTTTTTTGCCGTTGCCGTTGCCGTTGCCGTGAAAAGTTAATTTTGCAAGTCAATTAAGAAGTCACTAATTGCCGCGAAATGGGAATTGCCGTGAAAGTTAATTTTTACCGTGGGACTCTCTAATTGTCTTGACGGATTCGTTGGGTAGGCGGGGGGGGGGGTTCCCCCGGACGCGCAGGATCTGCATCCCCAGCATCATCAGCATTATGTTGTTGCCATGAGTTTGTCTCCTTTTGTTGCAGATACTAGTGGTGTTTTGCTGTTTCAAGCGATGTTGGAATTGGCCTGTTAGTGGTTTGGGTGGGGCCAAGCGCAGTGCTACTTTGAGGAACTGATAAAATTTGCAAAAATGAGTGATTTTGCAATTCCTACGGAGCAGTTACTGCGAAGCATCCCCTGCATTATCGTGCTTTTGGAAGTCTATTTTTAGGTATTTGAGGGGGGTTGCTAGTATCGGTTTTTGGTGGTTGCTTTTGGGAAATATCTAAAAACCCGGTTTTTTGCACTTTTTTGTGGCTAGCCGGCTGCATTCCCAGCATTCCCCGCATCTCTGGTATTTTCTGTGTTTGGTCAATGTTGCGTGTCTGAAAGCCTAAAATTCTTGAGCGCGAAGATTGAGTCTGTTCCTGTGAGTTGTGTGGTTGCATCCCTTGCATTTCCAGCATCCTCAGCATCTGGGACATGAAAAACAGGAAAGTGCCAAGAAGGCCTTGTACTTACAAAAATTGGGGCCTTGCTGTTATACCCTTTCGGGGGGTGGTTTAAAGAGTAGACCCTAGTGTTCTTCTCCTGTAATGTGTTCAGCCCTGCCGGCGAAGTCAGAGCGGCGTTGTTCGCATTCTCGTTAAGAGCCCCATGTCACCGAGGAGAAAAAAACATCTTTTTCCTTACCCCAATTCGAGGCAAAAAAAGAGTCTTTTTCCCTACCCCAAATTCAAGGCACCTTGCAGCCGACGTCAGAGGGGCGCTGTTTGTTTCTTCTTCCACGCGTTAAGAGCCAATTGTCCCTTGAGCCAGTGCTGACTCCAGATTGACCAGCCCCAGTTTATTAATAGGGGACTGTCCACTGGCGTCGGCGGATCGCGTAGCGATTTCAGTATTAAACCCTCACTGAACCATATTAAACCCTCACTGAGCCAGCACTGACAAAGCACCTCCAAACTAAAGCTACCTTCTCTCAGCAAAGCCACGTCTGACCCAAGGATTGCAGTGACATGTCCTGGTGGACAAATGGATCCTATTAATAGACATGGTTTGGCCTCTACATTAGGGGGAACTCATTATCAAGGGGAGCGGATTATTAGCAGCATTGGGAATGTCAGGAAACGCATCGGCCATCGGCCATTTGCGGATTGATTTGAAGCAGTGACATCCTTGACTGGATTCATTGAACAATGACATGATATAGCATGGAAGCGGGTTTCAAAAGGCTTCCTAGTTCTGTTTTGTGCGGCCCTTCTTCGAAGGAATTGAAAGGGAACCAACCTAGAATTGGCCCATGCGTGTGTTGACCCACAAGAGTGTTCGCACATGAGCAAGTGGCAAAATAGGGCTGAAGCAACTAAGTTGAAGGTAGCGGAAGCCGGCAGAACATGTCTTCAGAGTTCTTAGAGGTGATCCTGCATGTCTACGGGTCGTGTCCAAAATACCGAACACGATGGAGTGAAGTCTACGATGCGCTTAGCAGGCCAGCTCAAGCCGCTTACTTTCAGCTTTGGTCGCCCCAAAGACTTGCCTTTCATATCGTATTGTGTACAATGACGAATCATAAATACTTGTACATGTTAGCTGCTTGTAACTAATGGCCCCATGAACCTGTCTGCCTGCAAGCCTCAAGGAAGTGGGGCCTCAGCCCGGCCAGCAGTGTGTGTGTGTGTGTGTGTGTTTGTATGTGTGCCGATGCTGAGGGTCCCTGCATCATTGAGAAACTCGCGGGCAAACAGGAGCTGAGTCCTCACTCATGCAGCCAATCAGAATCCACAAACAGAAGCGGAGCTGAGTTCGGTGCTGCATGGCAGAAACGTCTCCACTGCTTTCTTCAAGGGACGCCGCAGGCCTGCGACGGTGCGGTGACTTTCTCTGTCCCCGGCGACCGGATCCCTGCCGAGCACAGTTGGGACGCAGATCTGGATACGTTCATGATTGCAACTTGACCATCGCAGAACACGTGTTGACCAAGCACATGTATCCGGAAGACAAGCGCATCGAGCCTTATGGAAAGCTCGAACGGCATACATGATTCTTCATTGGAACATCATGGAGAATGGCTCTTGACTTTCTTGACTTGAGCCCTTTCGAAAGGGACGGTTCCATTTATGATTTGGAAGCCATCCAATTTCCGGGGTCCATAAGTCCATAACCTTCTGACACATCCATGTCATGTAAATGTGTTAACGTCGGCTTCGTCTCCAAAGCTTGCCCACAAGAGTGCCAAATGTTTGAGACGAACCTCACCTGAGGCCTATTCGAATCCCCTTATTGGGGTCTCAACTCGAACCCTATGCGTTGTTTGTGGCCTTTACCCTCCCTCCCTTGCGTTTCGTTTGATGTCGTATTTGAACATATTATGGAAACCTCAAAAAAACAGAAAGGCGCAATCCCTTTTCTTACGTGCAACGTGTCGGATCGCCTCTCCGAGAAGTCGAAGGCAGACATCGCTGCGGCCACGCGGTCGTCCAGGTCCGTGTAAACCGTGTCCACATCCGTGTTCAACCTCGAGCTGAGGCCCTCAACTCACGGCTTTGAGAAACATGGATGTACATAGGCCCTTTTAAAAATTGCTGGCCCTGGTAAATGGAACAAAACCCATCTAAACCAACCAAACTAACCTAAGATACTAAGAAGGACACCTATTGGATGTACCCAAAGCTGAGGGGAGCTGGTGTTCACAGGCGGAACATTCCAAATGTTTTCTGGATTAGATGTGAAAAATGGCCCCACCAAGTCACTCTTGAAACCCACGTGTCCAAAACCAGGCCGTCTCATTGGTACTCGGACCCTGGTCGGATGAGTCACTGAGGTGAGAACGAGACTGCCAGTCTGTCCAGCAGGTGTGGGCGCAGCGGCCCTGAAGTAAACAATTGCTGAAAAGCTCGCGGAAGATGAGCGGGTTCAAAGACATGTTCGAACAAAGACACAAATAGAACAGCCAACCACAACAAACAAACAAACCAATGAAGGAGCGAAGGCACAAACAAACGAACCAACCAAACACACAAAAACAAAAAAACAAAAAAAACAAAAAAAACAGAAACAAACAAACAAACAAACAAACAAACAAACAAACGAGCAATCAAGCAATCAAACAAACAAACAACACAAATAAAACCAATACCTAACCAACCAAACCAGACCAGACCCGGCCAAACCAAGCTACCCACCCACCCAACCAAGCAACCAACCAACCAACCAAACAAACGACCGCGCAAGCAAACAAACAGAACAAGAACGCAAAGCAACCAACCAACCCAACCCAACTAGCTGAAAACAAACCAAATCACCCACCCACCCACCCACCCACCCACCCACTCACCCACCCACCCACCCACCCACCCACCCACCCAACCAACCAACCAACCAACCAACCACCCAACCACCCAACCACCCAACCACCCAACCACCCAACCACCCAACCATCATCAACCATCCAACCACCCAACCAACCAACCAACCAACAAAACAAAACACAACAAACAAAGAAACACACAAGCAAGCCAGCAAGCAAGCAATCAAGCAAGCAAGGCCCTGGTGCCTCCCCGCTCCAAGCTCAGAAAAGCTGAGCCGTGGATGCTCCGTTCTCCCGGGTGGGCCCCGCCTTCCTCTGGGTTCCAGGTGGCTACCACCAGTGGCCGACAAGGGTGCGCCTCAAGTCGGGTCCAGTCAGCCAGTCCGCTTTCTGAGGCCTTGTCAGGTTGGATGTAAGGGAAACCAAGCGGAACACCGCCATATTTTTGGGGTCCCCCTATTTTGACACTTCGAGGCGGGTGCGAGTGGAAAGCGACTGAAAGCGACCAAGCGACATTAGCGGATGGCAACAAGCTTACTTCAATGGGCTGTTGCTTCTGACTGCTGTTGTATGTAGGTTGCAAATCATCCAAGTTTCTTCACTCCCGGCAAAAAGCTGGCCTTCTGCGGTCAAATCATCAAGTGCGTGCTAACATGTGGTGTTTGTACTGGCGCAATCTCAGCACACCATGCAAGGAGTCAAAGGATCCCACCACTGACAGCCCCTCGCGCTCGACGCGGTTCACGCCGCTCTCAACAGCCTCAGAGATGCTACGAGCAGCATGCAGCGGAAACCTCACCTGAGATCTACGTAACAAAATACGCCTGCAAATACCCCAAATAGCAAAAGTAGTTGGGAGTCAACGCAGCAGCGTGAATGCCGATCAGTACCGCGCCCAGATTCCTAGTCGCACCCGCCCCAACATCCTTCAACAGCAGCAGCCCTGCAACAGACACCCACAGCACCAGGGGCAATTCATGGTCAAACTCTCCAGCCACACACACGAGCACTCTGCAACAGAACGCTCCAACAGCAAGCTGCCAAACTCCTTCATCACACACATCTTCCAACAGCCCCCGCGCGAGAGCACCTTGCCCACAAAACATCACACACCCGCCGATCTGATCTCTACTTGAACTTGCATAGCTTTCAGCCAGATGGCTGAAAACATAAAATTCGTGAGATATCCAAAAACGCATGCGATGGTAAACGCTGCCAGAAACGCAAAGGTTTAGGACCAAATAGGGAGAAGAAAAAAAACACTACACCGCAAGCCAGCGCACTCCTCCAGCAAAAACCATGACTACCAGCAGAGCCGGCCACAATTTTGCTGCCCTGCTCTAGGCCATCCACGGTCAACAGCAAGCTGACCAGGTCATCCTGAAGCGCAGGGTTGGACCGCAGAATACCATGGTTCCATTTTGCTTACTCCCCAAACCCAAAAGTGGTTCATGTTCTTTGAGTACTCTTCGTCCGGCTGACAAAATTGCGAGGCCTGTACAATTGTATGTTGATCTGTTCGATGACACTCGTGTATGCACGTGGAATCACATTCGCCTGGGCCTCCGTGAGTGCGGGAAAGGGCCATCTGAACTGTCCCGATTTACTCAACGCATCGTTGACTTCTCCATGCGCCTCACGTGCAATGGGGGTGCTGGCCCGATCTGGCCTGCTTGCGGGCTGTCCGCTCGTGCTGTGCAAACATGCTGGATCCGCGCATGTCTCTGCAACGAATTGACATCAACCTTTCTACGCAAGTGCTGGGAGTACGGTATGTTTTGTTTAGAAAAAGCGTGGCTGTCAGCATATTGTCCAATTCCATTGAACAAGTGAAAGCAGCCACAAACCCATGCGTCCTGGAGCAAGTTCACGTCATCAATGTACAAAACTCCGCGGTGTGCGCGTGCGAGCCTGGGTACGGTTGTTTTACAGCCTGTCCCCTACGCTGCGCCAATGCCAAGGCGGTGACAAGCCCGGCTCAAAGACCGGCCGGCCCGCATCCATTGATGCCTACAGCGCAAGTCATAGCCAGTCAACTAAGACAGCTCCAAAAGGAGCATAACAATGCATAGCAGATTGGAACAGCGCTTGGCAACATAGCGCCTGAACATCCAATGATCCCACCAGGCGATCCTCTGTGCAGCCCAAAGGCCTGCAGCAGTTGAGTCAAAACGATTCAGATGTGTTCTGGATGAAAAAGCACTGTGTAGGAAGGGGTTCTACATGGTTCTACATCAAATGAGTCAACACACTCATAGGCGCTTGTTTTGAACACCCAGTTCGCCTTCCTTGCATTGATTCACATGGCATGTGGCACAGGTGCTGGGCTACTGGGCAGCTCGATGAATGGGCAGTCGATGACCTTCGCCACAGCCTCGCCCTGCGAAGACAAGGGAAGTTCGGAAGGCAACAGCAAACGGCTGGGAAGGCCCCGCCTTATCATCTTTCTTCATGCGCTCCTTGCTGAGCACATCCCACCTGCCATGCCAAGCGTAAGAACGGCACTCCTGCACTGCGCATCAGCTATGATTCACATGGCCACGTTCGGCCTGTCGAATTTTCTTTGGGGGAACATTACCAACGCTGGCACGTGCCAAAGAAGCAAACGCAGCGTGCGATCGGGCGGAACCAAGGGCCGCACTCGGCGGGCTTGGAAGGGTCGCAGTTGCAGATGGAGCCATCCACAACCTGAACATGTCGCAAGCGCGGATGCACATGTGTGTCAAATTTGACCTGTCCAAATATCATGGAGTTCTTCAGTTTTCTCGGCAAAGTGTAGTTCCCCAACGTCTCCAATGAGATCTCCTTTGAGTTGGAACATGCCGAGGTTGCATTAGACATCGGCGACCCTGTCATGCTACTCGATCAGGAAGGGCAAATCTGCCCAGACAATGCAATCAATTCTTCGGGGTCAAACTGGCCGCCCCTTTCATGTGCTCCTTGATTAACGAAAACTGATATCCCCGAAACCCAGCGAATCTAGCCTGCCTCTATCTTTGGAAGGACTCCTCGAAGGGAGCGAGCCAGCGTCCTGGTGAAAACGGCAGAGGTGCCACAGGGGGTTCCTCACTGGTTGGGTCTTGAGTAATAGATCCATGCGCTGTCAGCGCCAACCGTGAATTTCTCAACTGCACCAAAAGCAGTTGGCAGTGCGAGTTGAGCAACATAAACCTTGGAAAAAAACTCCCATCATAAAACAGCCCAAGCCTCAAGGGCTATTCACTGGGCGCGAGGCGTCTTCCCTGTGCCATGGCCGCCAGAAATGCCTGGCGATGGGCGGACAGCAACACAAAACCCCATACCCAAATGAGCCCTGTACCTAACATGCTTTATGGCGACGGTTTATCATCCAAGGTGATCAGAGCAGTCAATGCCCGGAATCCTCCCCTAGCCTGGGAATGAGAGGCACACCGAACAACTGTTTGGACAAAAACAAAACACTCCTTCATGTCCAGCGTCCAGGTTGATTTGCTAAACTGCGCGCCTACTCCACCAAGAGAGGGATCAATGCAGGCCTCAGCTTTGCTTTGCACATGACTGACTCGACACACCGTGTTGAAGCTTTGCCACCGGCGGGAATAAGACATGCACCACGTCTTGCCACAACTCGTGGTGTCACACCAGCCTTTTGTTGCATTGGGGTTATCTGTCCTCTACTGAACTGTTGAAAGCATATTAGTTTAATTGGACGTGGTGCTTCCGGCCATTGTCACTTTGTCAGGCCCAGACCTGAGACGAACCACTTTAGTAATGCAGGCTCATAGAAAACCCGAGGTGACCGCGCAAGAAAACCACTGGAGACTCCAATCCTCAATCCCTCCCGTCTCTTGAGGCCGTGCCAACTTGAGGGCCAGCTTCACTTCCTCCAAACCTTCCACTCGGGTCATTGGCACCACCTCGGGACAACTGCCCTGAGAATTGGACAAAGATCTGCTTTGCCTCAAATGAGCAGGACTCCACTGCAAGAGACAATGATTGGCGGAGGGCTCCTTGGTGGGAGTTATTCTTGGCACAGACACACAGACACACAGACACACACACACACACACACACACACACACACACACACACACACACACACACACACACACACACACACACACACACACACACACACACACACACACACACACACACACACACACACACACACACACACACACACACACACACACACACACACACACACACACACACACACACACACACACACACACACACACACACACACACACACACACACACACACACACACACACACACACACACACACACACAACACACAACGCAAACACACACAAACACAAACACAAACACAAACACAAACACAAACACAAACACAAACACAAACACAAACACAAACACAAACACAAACACAAACACAAACACAAACACAAACACAAACACAAACACAAACACACACACACACACACAGACGCACATGTGTCCATGCTGAGATCTTGGATCGAAGTTGAAGCCTCAAACTCAAAACCAAACGCAAAGAAACAATCAGCCTAAACAGCAAATATGCCAGCAGGCACGAAAGTCAAGATTCGTAGGCCACGAGAATCACCAAGGTTGCCAGCGTGATGGCCACAAGTCCAAGCTGCAAAACCGGCAAAAAAACACACCTGTGTAAGTACCCCTGATGTGCACGCCACCAAAGTAGCCTAAAAAGTTCATGTCCCCAGGTGCATGTCGATCCCGGGAGCAAACCTCCGCAAGTCTTTTGAAGCTGAGGTCAGCACGATGCCCCTTCCCCGCTTGGAATCTGTCTCCTGGGACTTCAAGGCCCCAAGCTCTATGCGTATCTGTGCGCTTGGGCGGTGCTACCTGGGTTCGGGGATATGCCGACCAACAAGACATGGCATTGTCCGCGCCCTCAAGTAGCCGGTGGCGCAATGCACGCAACCAGCTGTTAGACCAGTGGGCCAGCTTGCCACTCCTCCACTTTTGGCTCGTCCACCGATGCCACTCGCGCCTCATGTGTTCGCACACATGCACAGTCGAAGCTCGGGTCAAACTGTCAAAGGCTGATTGTAGCCATGGCCATTCACCCCGTAGGGGGCTAACTTCACTTCCTGTAATTAAGCCACAACTAACGGCTAATAACCCAAAAATTAGGGGTTTATATGGACATATACCTTCAGTCTTAACTGATTCCGCAGGAAAGTTTATCTTATGATAACACAAATCTGCTCAATCATGTTTTGATCGTATTGTGAGACACTCAATCAGTCTAATCTGCTGCTCAAATTGTGCGGACCGGAAAACGTAACACCAGGCTTTTGTGTCGCTGCTTGGCGCAATCTGTGCGCCTAAGGAATGCCTTGAGGTGCCCACAATGACCCTTCTGCGGCTTCTCGAGACTCGAGTGGCTGCGTGCACAGCCAAAAATGCGCCTGGCGCGCCGCCCTTACGGACCACGAGCATCAACAAAAATGTATCCACAGTCGAGTCAACCTTTCACTTCGGTGTATCTCCAAAAGCAAGTGCCCCGAACAACCTGCAGGTTGATGCTTGTCTGAGGAGATACATAGGACACTTGACAGTTGACCAAGCTCATGCCAATCTCGTTGCCTGCTGGTGTCCGCCTTTGGTCAGATCTCACCGTCCAGTACGCATGGCCTGCGCCAGCGGAGAGCTTGGGCAGGTTGGCAGGCGCCGACCTGCAACCCGCCACGGGATAGCGAGGGCGCGACTGCACAGCAAAGGGCATCAACCAAATGGCACCAGCAACAAAGGCATGAGTTGACACATTTGAAAGCTGAAGATGGTTTGGTTCACAGGATGAAGCAGTTGAGAACGATCTTTGACATGGGCAATTTACTTTGTTGAATGGTGTATTCCTGGAACCCTGCATGCCCACGATGCATTTAATTGAATGTGCACTGCACATTGCGTCTCTGTGAACTTTTTCAGGGGTTCCTTCACCCTGTGAGGAATGCCAAGTTCACCAAAAGCCAGTCAACCAGGAAAACCCTGCCCTGGCACCACTTCGGCAAAGGGAAGGGCCTTGTGGGCTGCTTGGTTAGGGTGAAATCAGTGGGAAAACACTTCAATGCATGCTGCAAATCACAAAAAACAAAAATGAAGCTGGCAGTGCCAAAGGCGACATTTCAGCTTGTTGCAAGGCAATTGGCAAAGAACCAGATGACAAAATCTCAAGCTCACCTTGCCAAATCACCACCATCCCAAAACTCAAACTCACGGATGTCTTGGAAGCAGCGACCATTTTGGAACAGGCCGCTAAGGGGAAAGCGGGTTCCCCAGTTCCGTTCCAATCTTCCCAAGAGAAAATCGAACCATACAGCAACAAGACATGCTTTTGGAGAATACCCTTTTTGTGGTCGGCTTGAAGGGCAAGAGGAGCACTTCCATTTTTAGGGATCCCCCTATTTTGACACATACCCAAATCCAGTTTTCGGGCGGAGAGTTGGCAACGAATGCCCCTCCTTCGCACCGCTCTCGGGGCGTGGACCGGCGCAGCATGCCTGTCAAAAGCTATGGCGGCTTCCCTTTTTTGTCAAGGCTTCCTTTGGTCTCATTTCTAGAAATTCACAACTTCAACCATGCCCTCGCATTTCGAGAGTAGCGCGCCTCATCCAGAGGGCGATGAGGCGCGGGGCGAGTTGGTGACTCAGAATCAAATCCATTCTTCTGCCCTGGTCGCTGGAATTTGCTAATTGCCGCTGAAATGAGAAAGAGACACAAGCCTTCAAACCACTGTCTCCTCAAGTGGCAACAGCTACCTCGCTTCCAAGAAACCCAGAACTTACAGGACTTGAAGCTATCAATGACCAACTGTCCAAGAGCCTGGGTAAAATATACGTTCTGCCGAACAGACAGGAGTCCTATTTTCGCAGCTTTGAGCAGCACCCCCTCCTTTCGGAACTCTCTTTGGATGCCAGCAACTTCAGTGCGTCCCTTAGGTCCCGGTAGGTCCCGGTGCCCCCACGTTTTCAACCCACCCCCCTTCTTTTACCAAACGAAAGACGGTGGTTTCTGAAGAGAAATTGGTGAATTCCCCCAGCCTCGGCGCCCAGGCGCTGACCTCCATGCCTCGCTCAAGAACCCACGGCTGGGGTGGCTGGGTAGGGGATCTGTTTTTTGGTGCCTCAAACCAAAAAGCGCCCCCCCCCCCCCCACCTGCCAAAAAAGAGAGGCATATTTCAACATGTTGCCCCCTGGTTCCTTTGCGCCGGTGGCACAATCAGAATTTACCAACTGAAAATAACAGAAAGCTCGCTATGTCTTCCCGATGGCTTCGTTTTTGGGGTCTACAATTTGAGCACACCCATACAGAATCTGCGCCCCTGATGCCATATCTGCAGCTCAAGCCAAGGCCGGCACGCACAGCAACCTCTGGACTTTCTTGCCCCCACTTAAATCTGGAGGGCCATCTGAGTCAATGCTGCGGAGCAAACGGCGTGGCTTTGAGTCATTGAGTGGTGGGCACACCGAGTACTTCACTATAACTTCTTATTTGGGCTCTCCAAGAAAATTGTTCGCAAAAGAGCCGACATTTCCCTTGGTGAAGATACCTAAAGGTTTCCCCTCATAGACGCCCCAAATGGATCGAACTGATAGAACCGCTGAACTCAGCCCGGGCTTTGTGCAAATATTTCGACCTCATGCAATGAATTCCTTGATTCTTGCGCCAATGGCCTGAGGCACTATGTGCAGGCCAAAAAAGCAACTGACCCGGCTCATTTCACAGGTCGAAAAGCTACTGAAAATCAGTTCAGATTCAAAGTCTGCTGAATTCGTACTATCTCACGCTAGATCTCACGCTACCCTTTCTCACTTCACTTGTCGAAAAATGAGAGAAGCAACATGAAAGAGGGAGCTGGGCTATGAATTTTGCTGGACCCCAAACAAAATCAAGAGAACTAATGGATACCTGGTGGTTGCGTACCGTAAATTCCATGCTGCATTTCTGCCAAAAGGTCCCACCATCAAAACTCACACCCAGCGGAGTTTACTTTTGTCCCCCTCACTCGTTCTCTGTCAAAAACAAGGCTGCGGAGTTGAGCTTCCGCTGGCGCGTGTTGTCTGTGCTCAGCTCCACCTGGTGAAACCAATTGGAGCCCACATCCATGAGCAAAGGCCAACAGAAACTGGGGGGTTTTAGAACTGGGTACCCTCAGAATTGGGAGGGGGGGTGTTTGATCCAGGACTTCTAAGGAGCAACGTTGAGTTGGAAATGGCAATGGCCTCGGCAATCAATCGCTCTCGGGTCAGCGAAGCATAAATAGGCCTCGGGCAGCTCACTGGGCATGCAGGATCACATGCTCACTCCCTTCAGTGCTTCTGGCGAGTGATCAGTGACAAGTAGCATCCCTGCTGGGTGGTTAATGCTTGCGAAGGAACCTAACAGCCATCCCCGTGCCCCCCTCATAAAAGTAAAAGCAATCTAAACAACTGTGATGGAAGAGTTGAAGAGGACACTTCCAAATTTCCTTGCGCGTGCAAGTTGGCCAGTGCTTCACCAAGCCAAGGCCAGGACAGGGAAATCGTGCCCGCAGCCCGCGCGGAGGAGGCCGTGCGCTCGGGGTGTGACACTGTGGACATCCAGGAGATGGTCAGCGGCGGCAGCATCGAGACCAGGGGCGAGGTCCTTTGGCCCTCCACGAGCACCCGCTTGGCCTCGTCGAAACTACAGCCTTCCAAGATCAGCTCCTCAGGCAGAGGGGACCTCGAATGGACAGCGCAACAAAGTTTCCTTTCGAGATACGTGATGCTGTGATGCAAAGGACCCGAATGGACGCGCCGTTCGGCACTTCCTTTCTCGACCTCTCCTGCACTGTCACCGGCAGCGGCGAGGACTCGTCGCTTAAGAGGTGTGGCTCGAAAGTGGCCACCAGGTGCAAGTTGTCGATGGAGATGGCCAGCTTCCGCGCGGATTGCTGGCCTAGGTCAATGTGCAACTGGATGTTGATTGGTACCATCATTTTAGTGACAGAGTCTCTGGGGTGAATGCGTGCCCACCCACATGTTCTGGACCAGGCCTGAAAGCTATGGTATGTGGTCCTGGTCGCCTCATGTTTCAGCCATGTCCCGTGTGGTATTTGGGCAATTGTTTTTGGGTATCGCTTTTTGCACAAGACCTATGTTGGAACATGTCCAATTGTTTTTGGGTGTGGTGTAGTTGTTGCACACATTTTGTTGGTGGTCAGTTCATGTCCTCTGTGTGTGTGTGTGTCCGTTTGGCCCAAGTTCTAGTCACGAATAGACTTCCAAGGCTCAGAATCTCCTCATCTCCCCATTTCCATGTTTGATGTGGTGGGGGAGTTCTGCATGTCTGACGCCAATGTAAGGTTTGCTTAGCACACAGGTTCAGGGAACTGGGAGAACCAACATGGATCAACCAGGGAGAGTCAGTGATTGTAATCACAGAAGTGTTTGGAGACCCTGAAAAAACATGCCACGTCTTCAACGGGCTTGCTGGTGTGATGTCAGGAAACCAAAAGGGGCTTCAAGGAGTCAAGGATGTTGATCGCAAACGTGCTACGGTGTAGATCTGGGACCCAAAAAGCGGGGACCCCCCACTTGATGCAGGGCTCGGGGACAGCTCTTTTTGGGGGAAGCTTTGTCTTTTGTGCTACTCCCTCCTCCAAGATTGGCGCTCACGAATCAGTGGCATCTCCCGCGCTCTGGATGGTCCATCAGGTTTCATCACGTGCATGTTCCTTTTCAGCAAAAAAAGAGACACGCAGAAATGAGGTCTGCCTCTGCCTCTGCCTCTGCCTCTGTCTCTGTCTCTGTCTCTGTCTCTGCCTCTGCCTCTGCCTCTGCCTCTGTCTCTGTCTCTGTCTCTCTGTCTGTCTCTACAGTGCTGAGCGGGTGCGCCGTGAGCGGGGTGTGCTTACCATCTGGCTGGCATGGGTGCAGTGCTGAGCAGGTGCGCGAACCATGAAAACGTCAAAAGTCGCGAGAAATATCAGTTTTTGCAGCTGAACTCGAAGGGGTAAAAACACACGAAATTGCATTTTGATCCACTGCGGAATATGAGCCGTGGACCAACTACCATGGAACTTCCAACATACCCATGTTGGCCCATGTTTGATCCGTGATTGGTTCCATTTGGTCCATAGCCAAGTTTGCAAACAACACACCCACCCCATTCAAAGGGGAGTCTTTAGCTTTCCTAAACCAACCCCGAAAGGGGTACCTAGTTTTGATCGAAACCAACGCACAGAGGACACGCTCCCAATTATGCAACTCTGATGTCCACCACTGGTCCATACCCAATGGGACTTCGCAGCCCTAATGTACCAAACGTGAACCAAGCACAAACAGAACATGTTTGGAATTTGAGGTCATGGACCATCTTTGGGCTAATGTTGAGACCCAGTGGCGCAGGGCGTTCAAAAACACGTCCGGCCGCAAAAAGTCGTTGAGACTCACCGGCTGGCTGGTGACGTCCCTGGAGTTCACTCGCCGGATCCAGTCCTCAGCATCTCTGGCTGGTGGGGAGGTTGAGGCCAACTCTTCGCCGCGGTTTGCAGGGACCCTCTTTCGATCATGTCGCGCCGCCCAAATCGCTGGCTGGCCTGCTCTGGAGCAAGCTCCCACTCCTAGCCCCAGCCCCCAACCCCAGCTGAGCCCCGCCCCCCAACATTGCTCTACTACAATGACCGCGTAATTGTCAGGACGGCTGTCACGGCAACAACCAGCCAACAGCCGGACATGACACTAATCAAGCCCTCAACTTGTTTGGCGCCCAAGTTGTTCGCATGCATTGCGAACCCAGCGCCCGCACTTTATCGTGAAATGACACGAGAAAGGAGAAGCCGTCCCAAACCAGCTGGAGACTCTAAGAGTGTTACCACCAACACCCAACCACTACTGTACCTGCAAGGGCAAACAATACATAATGCAGAATATATATATATATATACAGAGACAGAGAAAGAGATATATATATATATATATTAATATGTGACGATAGATTCTTGTATGTACATTAACATCTTCAACATTTGGCATCATAGCCCCCCCCCCCCCCCCGGACCCCCGCACCCCCAACTATTTGCTTCCTCAAGTGTAGTAACCAGCGGTATGGGGGGGGTGGAGTGGTTTCCCTTCAAGACCCTTCATTGGAAAACTGCTGGCTTCCCAAAGACATGAGAGAACCTGAAGCTCATGTCACGCTCGTGCGCTCGTGCCGACCGGGGGGCCCCCTTGAGGGCTACGATCCGCTTGGCCAGGCCCTGCAGATACAGCGAGGGCTCCTCCGGCGCAGAGGGCCAGGTGGCGGCCCAACTGTGCGGCACCTCACCGCGGATCAGCGCCTTGGCCTGCACCTGCGCTGGGATATCGGGTAGTTGGCTGGTGTCGGACGAGGGCTGATCTAAAGGAGGGGGATTCACTGAAATCATCGAGGTCATCCAGGCTGGGCATGGGAACTTGGAGATCTCGGGGCACTCACAAAGTCAGGCTTGCTTGCGAACGGAAGCTGGAATGCGCTGCAAATTAAGATGGAACCCAAACATGGGACCCCCCAAACGGAGATTCCAGTCTTTTGGGTTCTATGATCATTTGCAGGAGCAAAAGGTCGCTTTCCGCCCTTTGCCCCTTCCCTTCGCCCTCTGTCCCTCCCCCTTGACCCGTTGCCTGCAGGTCTGGTGTGCTCAGGGCACTGCCGCTGACGACCCGCTGCAGCGTTGACAGCGCATTGGTCACCAGCTCACCCAGGCGGTGCGCCTGCACATGCGCTGGCTGCGAAGATTTTTGGGAGTTGCTCCAAAGACCACTTCATAAGGAAAGAAACCTACAATAAGACCACACCAATAGTCTAACGTTCGGATCACCATTGTTTCTTTCAACATCTGTGAGCAAACATGTATTGTTCGACCGCGATTCAAGTGTCATCTCGTCAGGGCCTCTGCGGCATCCATCAAGATGAACGCCACCGTTGGGGGATCCTGCTAGCTGGTCAAACGGAAGGAACTGATGCGCAACCTGATATCGATGCTATTACCCCGCAAATTAAATAGGAACCCAAACAAAGAGGGTACTCAAAAGGGAGATTCCTCTACATATGAGGGTCTGTTGAGTTCCGTGCTTACATGTAGGGGAGTGCTACACATCACCCAATCCATTGGCCAGAGTGCTTCAGACAGCAAGTTCCTGGAATCTCATTCTTGAGGGATCCATCATCCTGAACATTGTTTTGGGGGGCTTCCATTGTTCCATTGCACGTGATGTTCCTCTTGTTTTCTTTTCCCTCAGAAGACCCGACAAAAACACAAACCCGGCTGCAGTTTCACAGAGTTGGAGCTCCAACCCCCAGCCGCGGCCGAATCCTCAGGCATCACCGCCCGGATCTCCACCCCCCGCAGCTTGCTGAGCTGGCCCTTACCTCAGACTCCACTGACGCCGAGTGTCCTATGTTCAATACGGGGAATGAAGATTCTGACTTCATGTGACAGGGGTCTTGACTTTTTTTAATGCTTGGGGATGTCAATGTCAGTTGAGAGGTTTCCCTTTACCCAATCACGGGTGAATTTGACAATGGTAAAGTGGCTGATTCCGCAACGGCAACCCGCCTGTTGATTGGTATTTGGAGGGAAACGGAATATTTATGGTGGTTTGGGTCATTTTAAGCCCTAGAGTTGGTCCTCCTAGCTGTCGGGGAAATTTAGTAAGTCCCTTCATGTCCCTGAAATGCATTAAATGGACCATAGACGACTCATATTCTAACCGTGACGTGCGCGGGGCCCAACACCCATGTGAGACCTTTCCCCAAAGGGTGCAACCCCATCAAGCCAATGGTTGACCAAATTTAGATGATGCAATTCCTGAAGTAGACAATGGTGGTTAACCCTCCAATAGAGGGTTTCAGGCGCTGCTCACTTGAGTTCAACCAAAGTCTTGGGCGCGTATCCTCTCCCAGAGTGACAGACTTTGGCGTGCTCTCGATGAAAATGGCCATGAAAAGACAGTTGCGCCTCTGGGAGCGAGCTGACGTGCTCCGCACCTAACTATGAAGGGAGCCAACCAACCTCTGAGCCGGATGAACGACGGACTAAGCAAAGTGTTTGTTGACGTGTCCACGCACAATTACTACAAGAAGCAACTGACTTCTGCTGCAGAGTCTTTTTGGTGAATTGCACGTGCGCACGTACGACATCGTGCATTCAAACATATCTTCATGCACAACTTCAGTTGCTCTCTCGCATGGTCACTCTTCCTCCTCCGTAGGGCTCCTTTTGGTGGTCTCCAAACATCAACCAAAGCAACAAACAAACCAACCGACCAACCGACCGACCGATCGACCGATCGACCGATCGACCGATCGACCGACCGACCAACCGACCAACCGAACAAAACGCAAGGTGAAGGATCGCCTTGAAACTCGCCAAATGGCTGACATTCTCCCAGATGGTGAAGAGCGGCGCCAGCTGCGCCCTCCAGACCTTCATGTCCACCTGGTCTCCATGTTGGGTTTTTAAAGGGAAAGAGAAACTAAAGGTAAAGGAACCATGGGTCTTGCCTTCAAAGACCCAATCAAAATGTTAGACCCAAAGAAAACACCGGGGCTGGCTCAGGCCGCCAGCTAAACGGTTCGAAACTTCCATTTCTGCCGTCGACACCTGGCCCGCCGCCGCCGCGCCGTCCCCCTGGCCCGCAGCCAGCTGCCGCAGCAACGAGATGGCCTCAGAAGGGGCCGTGGGTCAAATGGGCTCACGAGGGTTGATGTCCGTTCATTTACGTTCAGAATTCATACACGAGTTGATGGCCACCCTCTTTCCAACGGGGAGGGTTCTTGGACTATCCACCCGACCTGAACCTCAAATGGTTGCCTTTTTGATGGAAAAGGTTCCTTTTTCATGGCAATAATCGACCTTTCTAAGGGACGAAACCTACAACGAGGGTCCAATTGTCAGAAGGAGATTCTGAACATGTGTTTTCTGGGCTTCCGTGTGAATTGCAGGAGAGTAGGTTGAATTACGGCTTTGGGGAGATAGGTTCAGGTTCCAGCATCTCTCAATACTAGTGTTCAGCAGCTGAAACAATGTAGAGAGACTCTTGTGATGCCTCTGCTTCAGTCATGCCTCCTGGGAGTGGGGCCAAACAAGAGCTTCCCTGCTTCACGTGGGCGTATAAGTTATGATATCGGTAGTCGCTTTCACATGCCGTGAATATGCCCCGTTAACCTATGATGCTCAAGCTGACTGCAACCACACACTTCGCGACTTCATCCCACCTTTCTCAGTGAAACTCTGTTTGGTTTCAATATCCGCTGCCCAACCCCCCCCCCCTCCTGCCCCTCCCCCAGGCTCCCCCCTACCCTCCTTGGCGGAGTTGATGCGCTGCAGGGACCGGTCTGCGTTGGGCGCCATGCCGAAGGACGCCGGGTTGTCCAGGTCCGGCAGCTGCTCCACCCTCGCCCGGAAGTCCGCCATGTTGGTGGAAGCGGGCAGGTCGAAGGCCGGGATCTCCACGCCTAACGACCAACCGACAAGGGGCCTCGTCTTTGGTTTGAGAAGCTCCTTTTGGAGGGTTTCAGCTGGAATCCAAAGGGAAGCCACCCTGGTAATTTGTCGGATTCCCTATTTTGAGACGAACCCAAATGCCAAAACATGTGCCCTGGTGTGGAGCGTGAATACACGGTCCCAAAACCAGGGCTGACACTTTTCATGGAAAACAAACACACTGTATCTGTACATAAAGAAAAAGTACCAGGCGACAAGGGGGAAAGGGTACACGTATAGATAGGTGTGTCAACTCAAATTGTGGAGCGGCGGCTGTGGATGGGGGCAACAACTAGTAAGAATGAGATTCATGTAAGGCATGTAGCTGTCTCCCGTCTTTAGGAAAACCACTCTGTTCAAGAATCCAAAGATGCAGCAACATGAAAGGCACGGCCCATGTCACAGTCATCCAAGTTATCATCGGATAACCACCGGATGGATGACCCCCTTTGAAAACCGAAGCTTCCGGATATGCTCGGTGTGGCAGACTGTGCTCAAACAAAGCCGTGGAAGGCACAGGAAAGCTCTTGGCAGCCCATGTTGCTTGGCTGTGATTCGTGCTTCCAGCGGTAAACTTTGGACTTGCAAAGAGGTGAATGCAGGACGAAGCGTGGCAAAACCATGCTGTGAATCTGAAGGAGATTTGCACGGGTTATCCAGCACACACGTTTAAAACAAAAAAAGAAGATCCGCAGCAACCTCGTTGCTTTGCACATCCGGCCCGCCTGTTTTCCGCCTTCCACCATCCAGAGTTTCACTTTTGAAGAACATCGTCAGGTATTCGTGCACCAGGCGCGAGTCAAACTCATTGTCCACGCGGCTTCCATACACCGCCAGCTCCAGAACCCCAATGAGTGTGACCCAGTCAATGCCCGCAGACCCTGGATTCGCACTCTTGCCGGCCTCGCCCGCCTTCACCAGCAGCGACACCGTCTCGCAGGCACTTTGCAGGTCGCTTTGGGAGAACTCGTAGAACTTGGTCCAGCCCTGGGGGATGTAGGTGCGCCGCTCCTGCATGATGGCATGGAAGTGGGCACACAGGAAGATCACCCGGGAACGCAGGTCGTTGCCCTGGCCGAACCAATTCTGGTTCCAGGACTCCAGTGTCCTCGGGCGTGGCTGCAAAAAACCAGATGCTTGTCCACTCCAAAGGGCCTGCGAAACTCCCTTGAGGGATCAGGGCTTTACCAACCAACCTCGCACCCGGGTCCTCAGCATATTCTTCTTCACCCCGGGTGGCGCCTCATAGGTCACCTTCAACGAGGTCTCCAGCAGAATTGTGGGAAACTTGGCATGGGCCTCTGTTGTCAGCCAGCACCTGCGATGTCAAACTAGTTCGGGCCGCAGCCCTGGGGTTGGATGGGAGAGAGGTGAATTTTCGCCTCCAGAGTTCTGTCCCCCAAACTGAGGAAGAAGGCACACCAAAGAGGACATCCTGAGCTTTAGCAGGTTCTACGAGGGCCCTGGGTTCAAACTGGACGCCAGCTTTTGGCCCAACAGCTGCCTAAAGTTCTCGTGAGGCGTCAAATTCTTGAGCTCCTTCTCCAGCAGTGGCACCCAGCTGATCACCAAATGCAAGTTTTTCAGGCAAATCCAATCACCTGACCTGGCCGCTTCATGCAGCATGCGAATGGCATCATCATTCTGGCCACCTCCCATAGCAAGCTGGTGGAAGTTCATGCTGGGCGCGCTCTCTGCAGCATACTGCTTGGCAAAGTCATCCAGCTCCGCAGAAGGATCGGCGCCAGGGGTCGTCACAAACAGAATGGGCAGTTTGTTGCTCGTCTCCTCCTTGAAGAGACGACTCAGACTCAGTGCTGGTGGAGACAGCGAGGACACGCCCAAGGTCTCACAGGCGAACTGCGTGAGCGTGGATTCCAAGCGGTCTGGCCGAGCAGCCTGAACGAGCAACACCCTTTGGAAGGCAGTCATGCGGGAATACACGGAACCATCGAAGGACTCCTCGCACTTGTCAGAAGCGACCCAGGGCGCCCACAAAGACTCCTTCAAGGCTTGGGCAACAAGCAAAGGCCCATTAAGGCGGGTCAAAGCCCAGTCTCAGAAGGGTTCAATTGAAAGTCGCTTGTCAGGCTCACACAAGACAATTGCAAAGTCGCTGGCTGCAAGGAAACTATCCCTTGGGGTGACCTTGCCAAGGCGTGCTTCAGAATTCTGCGACGGAAATCAAAGGGAAGGTGCCCCCCCCTTGGATTTCGGCACACAACCAAATCAAAATCAGCCTCAAGTCAGTGGAGTACTTATTCCTTACATGCACGTATGCTGCTTGTCAGAACTGGGGACCCATGCAAATGCTGAGTTACTCATAACGAGGGGTCGATCCTCTGTTTTGCCGCATACCCTTGCTTTGACTGCAACTTTTGATCCTTTCAAATGGAAACCCGGAAAGGGATTCCAAAACGAAACAACAGTGTCGGGTTTTCCTCTGTGACCGAGTGTCCTTGTTCAGCTGCCACTGCTCGTCGATCCTAGGGAAGGTGGCGCGCAAGGTCTGCAGTGCCACCTGCCTGTCTGGCGGGCACCAGCCGGGGGGAGGGCTGGTGGGCTGACTCGGGGGGATGTAGGCACCCTGGAAGAGCTCCCACTCGTTGGGCTCGAACTTCTCCGGCATGATGCCCTTCACCTGAGATGTTGCGGATCTGTGTTTTTCTCTCTTTTTTTTGCCGGGGGGGGGGGGGGTCCTTATTAAAGTTCGGAGCCTGAGTCATTATCAAAACCCATGGTAAAGCATCGAGAAGGACTTGCCGCTTCTATGTTTGGGGAAACTCCTGACCAACCTTCGCCTAAACGGATGTTAATGGGACACGTTGGAAGCATTCCGGAATCATCAGACCTATCCCCCCGCAAAACAAAAACACAAAGTGCCGAGTGGCCATGTGGATGCCGAAGGTCAACCTGTCCGCCTTGAACAAAGATCGGGAGAGGTAGAAGAGCACCACGATCTTCAGCTGATTCCTCAGTCTGATCTCATGCTAGCGCTTCAGCTCTCACCCCTAAACTCCAAAGATCAAACAGTCGCATGGCTGGGAACCGCCAAGGTTCCCCAGCTGCCGGAGCTTGTCCTCCGTGTTCTCTGTGCCCAGCTGAAGGTTCAGCACCTGAGGTCTGAGGTGAAATGGATAATGATCAACATGCCAGTTGCCTCGGGGGAAAACAGAGACCGACAACCCAAAGTGGTGGTGAAGGGAACCAATATGAACGAATACTTGAGTAAGTGTGAGAAGTAGGTGCTCTTGTCGATTGGGTTGATTTGGGCAAGCAATATGAAAGCAACTGCAATTTCAGTTGGGCCCCTTCTTGGTTGATGTGCCGATTGTTCTGGAAACAAACTATTGCAGTAAACCCTATCAGAGGCGTCCCTGGATTGAAACGGCCAATTGTTTGGCCATTGCTCCCCAGATTGGGACGCCGAAGATGGATGTCAGATACCCTCTTTCGACTGATTTCGACTGCATCACACGATTCGCCAAGAGGTGAATATCGAATGTCCTTCTGCCATTTCAAGCACGAATGGCCACAGATAAAAACCATTAAATCTACTAGATGTAAATATTATAAAATAGAATCAAAAAGAGAGACTTCTCATAAAGTAAAATAAGATGAAGATAGAAGTAAATAAGATAATGAATCCTGCATTTTTATTTGGCACGGCTTTTAACATAGCATATTGGCATAAGAAATACCATTCAGGTACTATATGTAAAGGAGTTAGTAATCCACATGCTTCTAATGCATTATCTGGATGTGAGAAAGAAGAGAACCCGGAGGTAATTTGAAGAAGATATAGATAGAGAGTTAATATCTTTCCATAGAATGTTTTACTAATAATGAAAGGAAACATGCTATTTTATTATTAGTGGAATTCCTGTTAGGATTATTAGAAGATAGAAAATGTAGATTAAAAAATATGATAAAGAAGAAAACCACAAAGAAGAAATGGAAATAGAAAATGAAAGACAAAGAACCTCTTCAATGTTGGATTGTAAACATAATGTCCTCCACAAAGCCATTCTATTAAAGATGGAATGGGAGACAATAAATTTGTAATTACTGTAACTCCCCATAAACTCATTTGTCCATTTGGTAAAACATAACCCATAAATCCTGTTCCCATTAAGAAGAAGTAAATAATAATTCCAGAAAACCAAGTATTTGGATTATAAAAATATGAAGCATAAGATATAGCTCTTCCAAGATGTAGAAATATAAAAAGAAAGACAAATGATGCACCATTAGAATGAAGATAACGTAAACACCATCCATAATATATTTCTCTAATTAAAAAGAAAATACTAAAATATGCTGAATTAATATCAGATGTTACATGTAAACCTAAGAAGATTCCAGAGATAATTTGTGATAAAATAGTAATTCCTAAAAAAACAAAAACAAGATTCCAACAATAATTTATGATCAGAGGACAAGGATATGATTGTAAATGATATTTCATTAGTAATACAAAATAAATATTCAACATCAGAATCATAGATTTATCTGAGGCACAAAGGTCGATTTTCTGAATCTTCTTTGCATTGTTTGGTTATGTTGTTTATGATAGACGATTCATAAGCTTTCATTATATTGCTATCTTTTCATTATCTTTCTCTTTTCATTTGTCATCTCTTTATTATTTGGATTGGGATTTCCCATGTTATTCCTCTCTTCACCATATGCTGTCTATAGAATAGTTCTGGAGGTAGGACATGAAGGAAACAGATTGGTTGGGATAGGTCCCTGCTACAACGTGTACCTCGTTGGCCTAGCTTTGCGCTAGCACTTGATGAAATTGGTTGGGTCCCCAGAGATGTGAACAGGTTGGCCTGGCTTTCTCTTTGGACTCAGCCAAGCCTGACCAAGGGTCGAAAGAGAGGGAACCCAGTAGACAGGTGGCCCATCTTTTGAAGCCATCTCTCCCCCCGAAAAACATCCATGCGACAAACGGGCACCCTGTTTTTTCTCCAACCACCGCAGTCCGCGTTTCGCGAGGCCGACGTCGAAGCCGGCGCCTTGTTGAAGAGCGTCATGAAGGCCTCCAGAGAGAAGCGGTACATGTGGTCAATCACCGACAGCTCCTGTCGGAAAGCCAAACCAAACTGAAAACCGCCCTTCCCCTGTGGCAGGAGTCGCAGTGGACTGAATCTGCTTTATGATATTTAAGGCTTTAGGCCCCCGCCCTGTTCTTCGACGGTGCCTTCCAAATCATCGCCTAAGAAACTGATACCGATGGTGATGGTGGTGGTGGTGGTGGTGGTGGTGGTGGTGGTGATGATGATGAATATTATTATTAGTATTACTATTATTATTATTAATATTATTATTATTATTATTATTATTATTATTATTATTATTATTATTATTATTATTATTATTATTATTATTATTATTATTATTATTTATAATTATTACTATTATTATTATTATTATTATTATTATTATTATTATTATTATTATTATTATTATTATTATTATTATTATTATTATTATTATCATTACACATCTCCAGAATCACAAGCGAGGCCTAACGTCACACATCACCTAAAACATCATGTGAATGCATCATCAGCAGCATGCAATTAAATTATCAGTGTGGACTTTTTACATTCTCAGCTTTCTTTTTGTCTGAAGCTGCGCTTGTTTCAGCTTCTTGAACTTGTCTCTCTGCTTCATCTTGAGGTGGTGTTGAAGATGCTGTAATGGTAATACTTTGCTCTTTAGACTTCAGAAGCACCTTTATGCAAGTGTCCCGGCCCGCTGTTCTGCCACGCCCAACACCCACACCCACACCCACACCCACGCACACACACACACACACATTTGTAGGACACAGAGTGTCCACATTGCCAGTTTGAGCTCGTTTGTACCAAAATACGGTGCGCAGCAGGAATCGAGGCTGCACCCTTGCATGCACCCCGAATGTCTGAAAACTGCCAGCCCAGCTTTTTAGTCTTTTGGGCGACCTTTGTCCAACTGTTGCTTCTTCCGTTTTGACTAGCTGACGGATCCCACTGGCTCCTTGACCAGGATGAAGATCCTGGAGCCCAGAGTGGCCAAAGGCCGGTACACCTCGCGGATAGAGGACCCCCCTGTTCCCTGTCCCCCCCCCTGCAGAAACTCCAAAGCATTCAGCCGGGCTCAAGTGCTTGAAGTCATGCAACCCCATTTCTCGCCTCCCGCTGCTGGTCCAGGTCCATCTGCAGCCGCGTGGACTCGGTGAGGGACTCGGTGATGGTGGTGGCCGCGGCCTTGGTGCCTTCCAACGACTGGATCAAAGGCTCGTTCTCCAGGATGTTGCCCCGGCTGTCCGCCAGCTGCTCCAGCAGCTGCTTCTCCTTGGCTTTGGGGGCTTTGGGGGCTTTAGGGGGGGGGGTGCGGGGTGGGGGGGGGTGGGGGGGGGGGAGGACAAGGGGGGTTGCGGGGTTGGTTGGGTTGATTGAAGCCACCGGACCCTGACTTACTGGTCAAGCAATCTGTTTTCGGGCGTGAAGGGGTGCCCCTCTCGAAAAGGAGCCTGCACTGCTGGGGGTTGGTTCGCGGGCTGGATTGATTGGACCAGCCCTTCTATGTAGGCGTGGGTCAAGATCAAGACTGTGTCATCAACCTTGCTCCTACCTTTGGGATCACTCTGCAGATCCAACAGGGGCTCTTCTCTGCTGCTTGCTGCCCAACAGTGACTTCCTTGTGACCGCACCACAAGGCCCCGCTCGCAAGGTAGAAGCAGTTCCCTCTCGGTCAATCTCAAAAGGATTCAGATCTTTTGAGTCTTTTTAGTGATGTGCCATGGATGGTCTCCACATTTTGGAGACCTGGACCCCTCGACTTGGCGGGCGCATGAAAAATCATGCAATCTGGAAACAAATGGAGCGACCTTGTTTGGCTTTGACGGGTTTTGGAACGTCAGGGTTGGAGCAGTTTATGTTTCCCATAACATGCAAGTCCACAGCAGGCTGAGAAGTCTGTCCGCAACAAACGATGGCGAAGCATTGAGGTTGTCGGACTCTGAGCCGGTGAGTGACATTGGTTGGATTTTTGGGCGTGTTGGTTTACATGGTTTGCACTGTTATTTTTTAGAATAGCCATCGACAAATCAATGCACGTGTCAAACATCGCCGGGTCCTGTGCCCAGGGGGCCCTGCTCACTTTTGTCAAATCATATATCAGATTGTCCTGGCTTTCTTGTCAGCCCGAAGAAGGCAAACCAGTGGCTTTTGAAACTGATTGCAGATTGTAGCTTGCGGGACGTGTCACGATGAACAAAGACAACCTGATGCGTACTTGATGCAAGTTGGCTTTGCCTGGCACAGGAAAGTCAGTGTCCAAAGGTTGTGACTGATTCCGCTTGATTGGGCACAAAGGGCACAGTTGTGTTTTTCTTGAAACTGCCGCCAGCAGCTCAAGTGCAAACAGTCGGCCAGCAGAAAATAACACCGCGGTGTAGAAGCGAGACAGCAGTGGTCTCTGGCCACCAAAGGATAATGTTGACCGAACTGCCAAAGCTCCCGTTTGTCTCGACTATCTCAAATACGGGACCCTGCAAACCGCAGTGTTCCTGTGGGGTTCAATTCAAGCCAATCTCAAAGACGCAACCCTTGTAACTCTACCAGCTTTCCCCAGACAGCGAGACTGCTCAAAGAGCAATCCCTCCCAACTCCGAGCTCCGAACTCCGAGGCGCCAGGTTCGAGAGCTCCACCTTCAAGGCCTCCTCCTTCTGCAGCAGCTCGCTCTTCCGCTGCTCCAGCTCCGGCTTCTCGTGCTGCAGCGTCACCCCCAGCAGCTGACCTGGCGACTCACGGCCCGCCACGTTTCACCAAAAAGCGAATCGAAAAAGATTGATGTTTCTTGAAAACCGGGAGAAACATTCGCAGGGGTTCTCATAGTTCGCCAGAAAGCTCGCCAAAAAGGGCAGCCGCCCTTTTTGAGAAGGGGAATGCCTCAGTTGCTGGGTGTCAAACTTGAAAAATCACGTTGCTCCACCAGGAAAAAGAAAAACTGAGCCCGGTTGAACACGTGGGGGGGGAGGGGGACTTTGCGATGCTAATTGACGCTTCATGATTGCTGGCTTTCCAGATGATTTGAGCAGGAATCCTCCCCGTGTTCGTCTCAAACGGTCTCAGAGTTCTAGTGGGATTCTTATGATGGAACTCTTGGACCCTAAATAGATGGCAGGTGACCATCCCCAGTTGCCTCAATCAACTAGATTCAGATCTGTGCGTGTTGTCTAATATTACAAGCACTGGCAACTCCTGTGAGCAGCTTCTGGAGGGTTAGTGAATGCACAAACATGTGGACAAATGAAGTGGATGTGTGGAAGAAAAAGTCGGTCTTCTTTAGAGAAGAAACTTGCTCCTGTTTTTCAAGAAAGCCACGTGTCACAAGTTTAGGGGATTCCCCTACCTGTTTTTTTTTGCCAAAACCAATATGCCATACGGGTACATCAGCACAGCAAGCCGCATCTGCTAATGTTACACCAAACTCTTGAG